TCTTTCTATGGTTTTTGGTGGTCTGAAAGTTGAGCACAAGTTAACAGTGGAATGAGGCAGCTAGGTAGTGAAGTAGATAGGGCATTGTGCCTGGAATCAGGGATACCCGATTTCAAATTTGACCTTGGACACTTACTAGCTGTGTGACTCTGGGCAGGTCATTTGACCTCTGTTTGCCTCAGTTTCCTCATCTGTAAAATGGGGATAATAATAGCATCTCTGTCCCAGGGTTGTTGTGAGAATCAAATGAGATAATATTTGTAAAGCACTTAGCACAGTGCCTGGCACATAGTAAGCACTATACATTAGTTAGGCATTAGTATTATTATTAATAACAATTATTTTAAAAAAGCTAACGTGATTTCGGGTATAGCATCCAGAGTGAAAGGAGGCTATAGTTGTTATTGTTGTCTTTAATTATGTGGCAGTAATCCGTGTTTATACTATTGATTGATTCTTCTTTTACATGGTATCAGTTTACATGCAGCGTTCACATGTTCTTCACATGTTACTTGTAGTGTAAATATTTTCTATTATATTCATATTTCGTAATTTAGCTTAGCCATTTCTCAACCAATGGAAACTTGAGGTTGTTTCTAGTTTTCTGCTAATGCAAATAGTGTTGCTAGGGAAGCATACTCACATGAAGCGTCAGGGAATAGTGAAAAAGAAAGCCATCCTTTAAGCCAAGAAGACAAGGATTTGAATCCTGTCTCTTGACACATAATGACTGTATGACCTCTGGCAAATCATTTAACTTCTCAGATTCAAAAAGAAACACCACATGTTGACTTAGAAAAACCACAAATTAACATTATTTATATATTTTTATTTATTTTAAAAACATTTTCTAATTACATTTTAATCTGGTTAGGGCCACATGAACAAATTTGACACCTCTGCTCTAGGCAACTAAGACCACAAGTTTCAGAGAAGGTGCTGACCTACGCTGTTAGAGGATGTTTCCTACATCAAGGAAATCATGGCTCCAGTATATATCCATATATATGCACACATATGTCTCCATGTTTACTGCCAATACCTCCTTAAAAGCATTGGGCCTAGTCAACAAGCATTTATTAAGGGCTTAATATATGCACTAGGGATAGAAGGAAAGGCAAAAATATGGTCCCTGTCATCAAGAAGATTACATTCTAATGGGGGATACACATGCAAAAAAAATTACATATAAGATATATAGTATAAACGGAAAGGAACCACAAAAGGAAGGCACTAGCAATGGGAAGTCAGGGCTTGGGGGGAAGGAAGACCTCTTGTAGGAAGTGAGAATTGAGCTGAAGGAAGCCAGGAAAGCCAGAGGCAGAGATGAGGAGGGAGAAAATTTCAGGCTTGGGAGATAATCAATGAAGTTACAGAATCAAGAGACGGAGCATCACGTGCAAGAAGGCCAGGGTTCTGTCCTGTAAAGTATGAGGAGGAGAGCAAGGTGTAAGGAAACTGAAAAAGTAGGAAGGGGACAGTGACAGACTTTAGATGCTAAACAGAGGATTTTATATGGAGGGGGGGTTGCCAAAGCCAAGCCTATATTAAGGAAATCACTCTGGAGTGAAGGACAGATTGGTGTAGAGAAGAGACCTGTATTGTAATAGTCCAGGTGTGAGGTGATAAGGACCCAGACCAGGGCGGTAACTCTGTGAATGGAGAGAAGGGGATGCATTTGAGAGAAGTGAAGGTAGAAATGATAAGACTTGGCAACAGATTGCATATGTGGGGTGAGTGCAAGTAAGAAGTTGAGGATGGCACCAAAACACGTAAGTTTGGGTGGCACGCGGGTGGTACTCTCAACAGTAATAGGGAAGATCAGAAAACAGGAGGCTTTGGGGAAAAGAAAATGGACTCTGTTTAAGAATGTTAGGTTTGAGATGTCTATAGGACATCCAGTTTGAGATGTTCAAAAGGTGATGTGAGACTGGAGCTCAGGAGAGAGATTAGTGCTGGATATATAGTTTTGGAAATTATCTGCATAGAGATAGTAATTGAACCCATGGGTGCCAATGAGATAACCAGGTGAGACTAGGAGAAAAAGGCCCAGAACACAGCCATGGTGAACACTCATAGTTAGCAAAGGAGACTGAAGAGTAGTCAGACAGGCAAGAGAAGAACCAGGAGAGAACAGTATCAAGAAAAGCTAGAGAAGAGAATATCAAGGAGAAGAGGGTGATTGACAATGTCAGAGGCTGCAGAGAGGGCAAGGATGAGGACTGAAAAAAGCCATTAGAATGGGCAATTAAAAGATCATTAGTAACTTTGGAGAGAGCAATTTCAGCTGAATGATGAAGTCAGAAGACAGACTGAAGAGGATTCAGAAGCAAGGAAGAGCTGAGAAAGTGGAGACACCAAGTAGAGATGGCTTTCTCAGAGTTTAGCTATGAAAGGGAAAAGGTATGATAATAGGGATGGTCAGAAAAATTATGTTTTTGTTTGTTTTTTTTTAAAGCTGGGAGAGATATGGACATGTTTGTAGGAATCAGAGATGCAGTCAATAGGTAGAGAGTGAAGATTAGCTAGAAAATGGATATGGTAGTGGGAGCAATAAGCCGGAGATGAGGTAAGATGGGATCAAGGGGGAACACGTATGGATTTGCCTTTGCAAGGACCACTTTTTCATGAGATAGTAGAAGGCAGCTAAGTAATGTAAGATGAGGAGGGGAAAAGAGGAAGCTCTTCATGAATGACAGTTTTTTCAATGAAGTAAGAGAAGCCTTCAGCTGAGAGGGTTGGGGGAAGGCGGTAGGCTCAAGAATGAATGAAAAGTTTTGGAACACCTGCTACAGTGAGTGGATAGTGAATCAACTAAGGAAATATTAAGGATTGCCTTACTGCAGTAAAGGCCCCGTTCAGATTATTTATAACAAATTTATAGTGCTTGGGAGTGTCTGGCACATAGTAGGTGCTTAATAAACGCTTACTGAATTGACAATTTTTATTGATTCAGTCAGTAGCATGTGAATAGAAACAAAATGGTGGGAATGATCCAAGGTTGGGGTTTGGCAGAGCATGAGAGAAAATAGAGTAAGAAGGTAAAGGACTCAAGTGTAAAGGGTCATGTAACCATCATCCTAAAAAGCGAAAGATTTGGAGATTTGGCCTAGTAATTGCTTCTATGAATGCTGCAGCCACAGCTACTCAAGACCCAGAAAAAAGAGTTCTGGCCATCAAAGTCCTTGGCAATGTGCAATGGCTCAACATTAGAAAATGAGGTTTTTTAGGAAGAGATGACTTCAAAGAAAATGTATTTGCTTTGCTGCTAAGGATCATAGGATCTTTCAATCTGACTTGCCACTGACATTTCCTCAGTTATACTGCTAATGTGTTAGAATCTAGACTTCAGTCTTCTGACCCCAAGACAAGTCCTTTTCCCACTAAACCACACTGTGCTTCAGTAAATGTGCTTTCCTCCCCTCCTGTTAACATATGACTGCATCTTAAAACAGTGTTTCTGATGTGGTTTTGCCTCTTCTGCCCAGATCAAACTATTATTTCCAAGTAGCATTCTATCAAGGATTAGTAACAGGACAAAAAAAGCCAGAGGATTTTGATCCTTTGTAGAAAAGACTAAGAGAGGTTAGGCGACTTTTCAATGGAGTATGTTCTATTTAGGTAAGCTGTCTGAACTTCGGGCTAAAAATAACTCAATTTTATGTTAACATTTTCCTACATACTAATCTTTTATTAGAAAATTAATTTAAAGTGAATAATTCTGAAAGACTTTGATCAGTGGAAGGATCAAACATGATTCCAGAGGAGAAAGAATGCTGCCTACCAACCTCCCAACAGAGGTGATGGGACTAAATATGCAGAATGAGACACATTTTTTAACATGGCCAATACAGGAATTTGCTTTGCCTGACTATATGTTACAAAAGTTTTGTCTTCCCTCTCCTTTTTTCCAGTGGGAAAGAGGTAGGAGAGAAAATAAATGTTAATTTAAAATATATATAAATAAAAAATAAAAGTTGATAAATTAGAAAAAATTCAAATGTGCTTTTAAAAAAAGACTTACAGGGGCAGCTAGTTGGCACAGTGGATAGAGCACCAGCCCTAAAGTCAGGAGGACCTGAGTTCAAATCTGGCCTCAGACCAAACACTTGATACTTACTAGCTGTGTGACCCTGGGCAAGTCACTTGACCCCAGTAGCCTAAAAAAAATAAATAAATAAAAGAAAAAGTGAAAAAAAAGATTTGCTTTACTCTTACATGCAAATTTATTGTATCTTTGGATCGGCTCTCTACTAAAGTCCTACTTGTGATGCCTCATCTCAGCAGGGAAATGACTTGAGTTCTCACAGGTTGTGCCAGTGAAGCACAAGCTGCAGTTGGTTTTTAACAAGCTGGAGAATACTTCAGAACATAGGTCCAATCGTGGTCCATCTGCATGATGTTCAGAGAAGCTAATCACAGAGGTTGAGTACAGGGAAATAAAATTTTTGGTGACAGAAACTATCATTTACCAAAGCTAGAATGGTTGCAGTCTGACAGAATCATGAATCTTTGAAGTATTAGGACCAAATTTTTTCCTAGTGAAATACTTCTCCAAGTTCAAGACAAAAGTAACAAGGAAAACGGGATTATGACACACAGAAATTTGCTTCCCCAGAAACTTTTTAGGAATAAATGTCTTCTATCAGGTGAGATTTATCTTTTTTTTTTCCAGCTCTCTGAATGCATTAGAGGAAATACAATAACTATAAATTTATGTCATTTGTTAAACTTGTCTTCCAAACTAGAAGCTGTTTGAGGGCAAACAGCATGGCATATAATTCTTTGATAATTGTCATTGTCTAGCAGAATACCACACACCTGGTACATAACTTGAGTACTGAATGTATGCACAAGAATTAAATTTTTCTTTTTAAATTTTGCAACTCAGGCTATAGGGAAAGAAGAGTTCCATAACTTTTTTTGTATTGATGCTTTTAGACGAAGATTAGGCCTCCCTTTTCAAATCACATGCATTTTTCTTCTATGTTTTATTGCAGGACAAACCGGTGCAGGAAACAATTGGGCAAAGGGACATTACACTGAAGGAGCAGAGCTAGTAGATTCAGTGCTTGATGTAGTGAGGAAAGAATGTGAACACTGTGACTGTCTGCAAGGATTTCAGCTCACTCACTCCCTGGGAGGAGGAACAGGGTCTGGTATGGGAACACTGCTCATCAGCAAAATCCGAGAGGAGTATCCAGACAGAATCATGAATACCTTTAGCGTCATGCCTTCTCCCAAAGTGTCTGATACTGTGGTGGAGCCTTATAACGCAACCCTGTCGGTCCACCAGCTGGTTGAAAACACAGATGAAACTTACTGCATTGACAATGAGGCCTTGTACGATATCTGCTTCCGTACCTTGAAGCTTACCACCCCAACCTATGGAGACCTTAACCACCTGGTGTCTGCAACCATGAGTGGGGTAACCACCTCACTGCGCTTCCCGGGGCAGCTCAATGCTGATCTCCGCAAACTGGCCGTCAACATGGTCCCTTTTCCTCGCCTTCATTTCTTCATGCCAGGCTTTGCTCCTTTAACAGCCAGAGGTAGTCAGCAGTACCGAGCCCTGACGGTCCCAGAACTCACTCAGCAAATGTTTGATGCTAAGAACATGATGGCTGCTTGTGACCCAAGACATGGACGGTATCTCACTGTGGCCACTGTCTTCCGAGGCCCAATGTCTATGAAGGAAGTGGATGAGCAGATGCTGGCCATCCAGAACAAGAATAGCAGCTATTTTGTAGAGTGGATCCCTAATAATGTCAAGGTAGCTGTATGTGACATCCCTCCTCGTGGCCTTAAAATGGCCTCCACATTTATTGGCAATAGCACTGCAATTCAGGAGCTCTTCAAACGCATCTCTGAGCAGTTCTCTGCCATGTTCCGCCGGAAGGCTTTCCTTCATTGGTTTACAGGAGAGGGAATGGATGAAATGGAGTTTACAGAAGCGGAAAGTAATATGAATGATCTAGTCTCAGAATACCAGCAGTATCAAGAAGCTACAGCCAATGATGGAGAGGAAACTTTTGAAGATGATGAGGAAGAGATCAATGAATAAAAAAAATTTTCCCTATCACATGAAAACATGAATGAAAGCTTAATAAAATTCCTTTAAATGTATAAACTGTCTTCAATTTAAAGTCTTTTGAACATGGCAGATAACTGACGTGGAAGGTAGTTGGAAAACTAAGAATTTTTCTTTTCATCCCTTTGTGGGAAAAAATAGGCTGTGCAGTATCATATTATACTGAATATGCAACATAAACTTTAAGAAAATCTATTCATAATAAAAATATTATTACATCTGCTTTTTTGGGGGGGATAGGTTAAAATAAATACTTATTTTAACAAAGCCAAGTTAGAGAAGAAAAAAGAAATAACTATACAAACTAATGACAACTACAGTAACTCCTAGGGGTGTGTGGTTGTGCTTCATCTCTCTTCCGGGGTTTGCAAAATGCCAGTGCTGGTTACTGAAGAAATAAGCTGAAAGGGAGAAACCACTCTTATCAGCAAGTCAGAAAATCTTAGAGATAGTAACTAGTATTTTTGGTAGCTTCCATGTCTCAGCAAAGCTTGACAATCGTTTTAGGACAAATAACAAAGAAATATTACTTTATATAACAGGAACTGATTATTTCCTCAAGATATAACTGATAATATAAATGTAATCACAGAATTTAAGAAAGACACATAAAAGATCTAGTCCAGGAGTTGGCAAACTACAGCCCAAGACAGGGGTGGGGAACCTGTGGCCTTGAGGCCCTTTGAATACAATGCACTTGAGGACCTAGAGGGCCACATGTGGCCTCAAGTTCCCCACCCCTGGCCCAAGAGCTAAGACTGGTTTTTACATTTTAAATCAACAGCTGTATTTTAAAATGTACAAAAACAGGTGGCAAGTTGGATTTGGCCTGCAGGCCATAGTTTGCAGACCCTTGATCTGGTCTGTAAGATTCAGAGTTGGAAGGGAGCTAACATTACCTAGTTCAACCCCCTCATTTTACAAATTCTGACCACTTTATAAAAAATCTACAGGACTAGAAAAGTAATGAATGACCTTCAACACTGGCATGATGGGCTTGATGCTAAGATCTAAATAAGTATTAATAGGCATGTTAAAATTGAACTAATCCAGGCTTGATTCCTTGTCTCTAAAAAAGGGACAGTATAAGGGATTTAGTGTGCTATTCCAAGTTCTGTTGAAACTAACTGATGAGTTAACAAATGAGTTCTTAACAAGAAGCATTAATAAACTGGACTATATCAGAGTTTCACCTATCAGATTTCCCATGGGCACCAGAAGCTTTATCAACATTTCTTATTATAAAAGTAATAAGAAGAGACAGAATGCTAACGTCAAAATTTCATATGAAAGAGCCTTCTCTAATAAAGAGGATCATCCATCCCCAGAGTTAAGTTTACTGCAAGTATATTTTCTTAAAGTAAACAAATCTGTGTTCAAAAAAGGACATTGTATGTAGTTTATTTTTTATTTCAAAGCAGCCTTATTTACACAATACATTCACATTTTTAATATCTTACAGCTCCCTGTAGAAAACCTTTTGATTAAAACACAACAAATGATCTGAATTTTAAAAAAATACTACATGAAATTAGAATGTTTTCCTCATTAGGTGTTCAATTCATTTCACAGTCTATCTGCCTTGTGCAGATGAGAGGGGAACCATTGAAGGATAAGGAGAGTGAAGTAAGGGTGGGTGGGTTTGTGAGAGGAAAAAACTGACCTCTCAAGTACTGCAAAGTTTTATAAATTAATTAATTATACCTGACATGTTCAGGCACATGTTTCCTAGGTACAAGAAACTAGAGCTTGGCACAGTTCAAGAATCTTTCCAATCAACTCTACTGAAATCTTTACTTAATGATTTCTCCTCTGTTAGTTCTCCTTTGATGTGAGCTATACCATCACCACTGACAATGACTTCTGAAGCCTAGAGATAAAGTACCTGCCTTGTATACAAATCACAGCTTTCTTTTTTGTTATCATTTCAACCTTAGGGGAAATAGTAGGTTAAGACCAACCTGACAAAATGCTTCAACACCGGGTTTCATTAATCTGACAAAGCCAAAGTTGAAGTACTGTGCAAACTGATAACATAAGACAAAACGAAATTAAAATGGCATCTCTCCTTTGATCTGTTTTACTGTCTTGTCATCTGGTGGTTCCTCTTTTTCCTTCTCCTTTTCACGATCTTTGTTCCAGTCTTTAAGTCCTTCTGGAAGAGAGGTGTCCTCATCTAAGCTTCCAGTGCCCTCTACAAAATCTTCATAGGTAGATTTTTCTGCAAAGGGTCTGGGGCCCAAAAGTTCAACCATATCAGACTTATCTAATACTTCCTTTTCTAATAATCGAAGAGCAACCTGAAACAGAACAATTTCTATTAAATACATACACCAGGGGAACACAGTATAAGATTATCCCAGATCACTTAATAATGATCAGGTGAAAACATTTAAACAGGTTTGGTTCAGACTATTAGTCCTACAGCAAGGGCTAAATTAAACTAAGTTTGTAATAATCACCTACTCTGTAATTTTAATACACCTATGTTTTGCTTGAGAGGAAGTACCACAGCATTTTATATATATATATATATATCTCTATCTTACAGCTCTTATTGTTAATGTAAGATTGTGAACACTAAGAGCAAGTATTAAAGATGTTTTCCTCTACCATATGGAACTCATAATTACATACCTGCATTAATTAGGTGTTCTAGTAAACTGAATCAAGAGTTTATAGGTGTGTGTGTGTCTGTATACTAAATGTATATACATTAACCAATTTTTAAAAAATGAGTGCCACAAGGTAATACAATGCTAAACAATATTTCATATAATCTAACGCATCTTTCATGATTTGGAAAGTACCCTGGTACATGTAGTGTTATCAGGGTCATTGTTAGAAACAGCAGTTATTATTACATAGTATTATAGATTTAAAAGATGCACGAAAGTGGGATTAACTCATCCAACAAACATTTACTGAATATCTGTGAGGTGCCAAGTACCACGGTGTCTTAAACAAAAAAAACAGAACACAATCTCTGTTTCCAACAGCTTACAATCTAGTACAGAGCTTACAAAATCTGCATCATGTGTTATTCACGATAGTCTTCAATCAGCAATCAACATGTAAGCATTTTTTAAGTGCCACTACATGCGAGGTGTAGTACTAGGTATTGGGAATACAGAGACAAAATGAAAATGTATCTCCCTGCAAGGAGCTTACATTCTATCAAATGAGATAACATGTACATAATTCAGTATGTACATAATAAATTTTTTTTTTTTTGAGGGAGGGTGCTAACAGCTGGGGAAAGATATTAGAAAAGACTTGATGTAGAACAAGGCACTTCAACTAAACACTGGAGAAAACAGAAATTCTAAGAGGTAGAAGTAAGGAAGGAGTACATAGGGATGAGGACAACTAGTGCACAGGCACAGAAGAGTAAGATAGTGTGTTATGAGTAAGGAATAGAAAGAAGGTCTTTGGACTCCAAAATGTAAGAAGGGGAATAATAAGAATGAGAAGGTAGGCTGGGGCCAGTCTGTGGAGGGCTTTTAAAGCCAGAGCATGTATTTCCTCCTAGAGGTAATAAGGATATGGAGGAGTTTATTGAGTACAAACTTTGACAGACTTTGTTCTTTTCAGCAATGCAAAGATCTAAGACAATTCCAAGACTTGCGATGGAAAATGTTGTCCACATCCAGAGGAAGAACTATGGAGTCTGAATGCAGATCAATGCATACTATTTTCTTTTTTTTGTTGTCGTCTTTGTTGTTTCTTTCTCATGGTTTTTCCCTTTTGTTCTGATTCTCCTTTCACAACATGACTAACGTGGAAATATGTTTAATATGACTATACATGTATAGCCTATATCAGATTGCATGCCATCTTAGGAAGGGGAAGAAGGAGGAAAGAGTTAGGATTCAAAAATCTTATAAAAGTGAATGTTGGAAACTAAAAATAAATTAAAAAAAATATATATATATATATATAAATACAATAAATGACGTGGTCAGACTTGCTCTTTAGGAAATCACTCTGGCAGATGTGATGAGGTTGACTTGAAGGAAGGAAGACCATTACTACTATTATTACTATTACTACTATCTTATTACTATTACCATTATCTACTATTCCAAGGTACAATGATCATGTCTTTCTCTGAACTCCTAATAAACCTATAATCAGTATAACATAGTCTAATACTTTATTGCCCTCTAAATTTTTCATGTTTGTTCATTCTGTCTCCAGACTGTATATTCCCTGGGAGCAGAGGCTCTCCACATTACCAAGCACAGAGCAAGACACACATTAGTCATTCAGACAGATTTGTTCATTGCTTTTTTAACCCTATGACCTGTAAAGTAACCTGGAAGCTGCTTTCAAAAGTAACTCCCTAATATAACACACTTACCTGTCTCTTTCATAAAAAGTAGAGTGAATTATCCTTTCTCTCCACCTCCTTATCCAGGCCTAATGAATTCTTATTTAGTCTTGAAAAGCCAACTTCAAGTCACCTCCTTTAAGAAGCAATTCTTCCCTGATGTCCCATCAGTAATAGCCTATTTCCTTTCAGACTTTACAAGGCATTTTACAGCTCCATTATGTACTTACTTATCATGTTACCTTCATCCTAATTATCCGAAGATGTGTCATATCCTCCTACTAAACTGTAAGCTCCATGAGGTCAGAGATTGAATCTTACCTACACTTTTCGATCTCCCCCAGTACCACCTGTAGGCACTTAATAAATATCTGATGAATTTGAATAGAATATTTTTTTAAAATCTGTACAGACACTAGATAAAGAGTAATTTGCTAAATATGTGAAACCCAGAGGTCAATAAAGATTTCTTAATTCATGTACAAATGGTTTTAGGAGACTATCAAACCAAATACACTAATAAAAATGAAGAAGCATGCATACTCACATATAACTTACATTGTCAATTTTTAATTATTCAGTTCTAGTTATTTATTACATTGATTTACCACATATTAATGAAGTGTCTACTATATGCAAGGTTTGTAAGGATTCGTAAGGACTCTTTTCTCTCATCTGCTCTCTGGACATTTCAATCTTTGT